CCGCTACAAAGACGTTCAAGATGCCGCACTTCGACATCAGCAAGTTCGATGATTACAACAAGTCGGACGCCTTGTCATGGTGGCAACGCTTCCTCACGGAAGCATCATGCCGCATGGTCCCCGCATACACATCTAGATGTGTATAAGAGACAGGGCTTGGCCATTAAACCACCAGTACATGGCTTGGCCATTAAACCACCAGTACATGGCCCCAGCCTTGCGGAAAGTTTTTGTCGCCAGAAGCAAAACTCGGAGGCACCGTGCAGCCAGGCCAGCCGTTGAAAAAAAAGATCGGCGGCCTCCGAAGTGGTGCGGGTTTCCTGCTGGCACCCGCGGGTCGATATGTGGTGTACTGGTGCTGTAATTGTCCTCCCGATGAGCAGTAGCGAACTCTTTGTTGATCCATGCACCTCCCATTTATGTTACCCTCCACCGCCTATCTGACCCCTCGCTATTACCCTCCCCTAACCAGGAAAAAAAGGGAGAAAGTGCGAAAGAGGATTGCAAGTCCCAATGTCTTGCTGTTAGAGATGCGATGTATGGGCTTTAAATGTCACCTACCAGAGATCAAGAGTTCTCGAAACCCTGTTTGCATGTCAATTTGAAGGGTTAGCACGGTTGTTGAAAAAGTGGGTGTAATTAGAAAAGAGAGGCTCTAAAATTAGCAAGAAGTATATGGAAAAGGGAGAGCAATATCAGCAATGTAATAAATGTAAGAATAGGACATTCATGCCATGATGTGCACGTCTCTTTCTGTTCAATGTGCATGTGCCATCTCTGCTTGCCGTCCCGTTTCGCAGGAGCTATTATTCACACGACTAGAGGGAACAAATGGGTGCAAACATGGGGGGTCATTTCCGTCTGGGAATACTTTCAGCTATGTTCCTGAGCCTTAGGGCGATGAATATTTTGGGTTGCTGCTGCTGCTCTTGTGCAGTTTGGGATCTTCTGCATATTTGATGGTCATTGTGGGCGACAAGCGGCGGATGATGCTAGCAGGTATGCAACAATCAAGATTGCGATTGTACGTTTCTGTCGTAGGAAATGACATGTCGTAAGTTGCTGGCTGTTTCCTCTGGCCTTGTAACCTTGTTGCTGCACCATGAGC